TGGAAAGCCCAGAACAACCACAACTTTCCGTCGCAGTACCGGCACTCTATTAGGTTTTTTTTTTTTTTTTCAAGATTGACGATTTTATGAACTACATCTTTTTTTGTCATATTTTGTCGTCTCATTGATATCAGGCTGTAGCCCAGTGTGGTGGTTTTCTGTATCTGTCTTGCGCTTCTCGGGTGGCTTGGGTGAAAGAGTTATTCATCTTGTTGCTGGTTTCTGTTACATCATTTATCCATCTCTTTCTTTGCCTTCCTTCCAGACGTTCTGGCTGCGGAGGACACGAGTGAGGAGTATTGTCTGGATTTTTTCACCGGGTCCCGCCGGTTTGTTGGGAAATGAACAGGCGGACAGACTGGCTGGCTCTGCACAACTTGGTGGAATACTGCTACATGATAGGGCAGACGTGGTTAGTGCCTTGTGGGAGAGCGTGTGCAATGCGGAGGAGCAGATGGATCACCACAGTCTGGTGAGATTGATGCAGTTGGGGGTGACGAGAGGTTCTGGCAGAAGCTCAAGGCTCAGAGGAAAGGCAAGACGGACGTTTAATCAGAAAGCTACTGGCACCATTAGTATCGGAACTCTTCGCTGGCTGCTGAAGATGAGGACGGAGCGCTTATGGAAATGCCCCGAGTGCTGTGATGTCGGTTCTTGAACCAAATCAAACCAGACGTTCTGCTTCAAAAAGTCTCATATGCAGTCTGGTCTGGCAGCATTCTCACTAGATGGCTGAACCATTTCATTATTCGTCTGCCAATATAACCCAGTCCTGGTCTTATTCCAACTTTCTCTCTGATGGTGGTAATAGTAACCCTGTCTCGTCTTGTTAGTGACCTTGCGGAGACAGTCCATTTCACATGTAGTTAGTTTATGTTCTGGTGCCCTATTCGTTGTCCATCGTTAGCACTGATAACATAAAGTAGGGATAAAGATGCTGTTATTCGCTTTCTGTTTTGCTGGAAGGGAGACATCTGAGTGTCTGATTTTATGAACAATGATTTATGTCAGAGAAAGGAATAGCTATATATCGAGAATATAAGGCTGGTTTGAAAATATGACCAGACGTTGGAAGTCTGAGGAAAGACAAAGATGGAAAATTTCAATGGAATGGACAGACGGTTTAAATAATCGACACTTCCTGGTGAGGAATTGGAAAATAAAAAAAAAGGGGCGGGGGTGGGGGTGGCGGGAACTACTAATTATTTTCACAAATTAAAATTTCTTGTTTCAAGCATTTTATCTAGGTAGAATATTGCTGCTGAACTCTTTCATTTGAAAAAAAAAAAAAAACCATATAATCTGTCCAAGTCTCAACCCCATGTTCTGCTTAGATTGCATCCCCTGATGCCTTTCCACAAAGCCTGCCGTCTACCCATTTTTTGTTCCCTTTTCATAAGGTTTGCATATTTTCCTCTCATACTTGTTGTTAGGCAGAAAATGAGCGGTACATGGAAGCTCAGGCACCATAAAATATATGAGAGCGTGAGAGAGAGAGAAAGAGAGAGAGAGAGAAAGAGAGGCGGAGCTGAGCCTTCTCTTTAAGCATTTGTTTAAACATCTCATCAGCTGTTTATTATTTTTATGCCCCTAAACTAAGCAGCTTGAGCACCTTGATGACATCTCCCCCCCCCCCCCCCCCCCCAACGTCACAGCACTCCAGACATGACCGTGCGTGCTCTGTATCTCTCAAGAGCTGTCAAAGAGCATGGGCGTTACTAGTTCCAGTAGCTAATGGCTATGCATACCCTAACAGTGATCCACACAAACTTATTAGACAAAAAGAGCACTTATACTCAGTGTGGAGAAGCGCTCCGGCAGAGTCATCGATTTGTCTGTTTTGTGCAATTTTGCCCCCTCCCCCCCCTCCCCCTTTCCTTTCAGCTTTTTAGTCACAGTTCATTGGATTTGTTTCTTGACATTAGCTCGACTGCAGACACCACTAATATTGAGGAAAGGAAGGGGTGGAGGGTGTATAAACAGGTATTAGTAAGTACTCTCCAGTTTGTCTAAACAATCCTTCTCCCACCCTTTCAGATTCTCTAAACAATCATTTTACCACATCTTCAAATTATCGAAACAATCTTTACATAACCTCAAGATCCTCTAAACAATCTTTCCATATTGTTTAAACAATCTTTACACAACCTCTCCAGATTTTCAAAACAATTTTTACACCTCTCCAGATTCTCAAAACAATCTTTACACAACCTCTCCAGATTCTCAAAACAATCTTTCTACCACTTCTCCAAACAATCTTTTCACAACTAATCTGAAGCTTCACATTACCATCTCCAGAATAGTGTTGGTAGCATTCAAAGTGACTATGTTTTTTTTACCATGTTTCATATTCAGATTTTGGGTCAGAATTTGGGAAAAGATAGATTTTGGATTCCCCAGACAATCTTTTAGTTTTCGGACTACCATTCAATAATCTTTGTTGACTGCAGCTCGTAGGTTCAACTTCAGATGTTCCAACTGTTGCCAGCTTTCCAACAATGAGATCACATTGTTCCACCATCTGTGAAGTGTTTGTGCCTCACCTTTTTTCCTTTTTTTTTGCTGTGCACTTTTTGTATTGTCTCTGAAAGCCTTCTGAATCACCAGAATAATATCTGTGGAGGAATGCTGAAGCATAATGCTAAATTTGATGCAAATTATGTTCTACTTATTTAACCGTTTTGAATATGAGGGCCACATGTGTTCTAAATAAGGTTTAATGGATGTACTGACTGATACACTGACATCATCATTGCTCACAAATGTGCAGTACAGGCCACTCTATATGGATGCTAAGTTACACAAATGTTGCTATTTTATATTAATAATAGCTTGATCTTTTCTGGACAGCCTTCATGTTGATACCACCACTATGCTACCAGTGAAACAAATGAACATTTTCAAAGGCTAATCTCCATAAAATAAGCCCTTGTGAGATGAATTGTTTGAAGAAAGTTACAAACTTAACCACATGCGACTGAGTTAAAAACTGATACTATTTGACAGACTATGAGAACAACACCTTGAACAGAATTTACTGAGAAGCAAAAAATCCAACAGTTTGGTAATCTACGAGGGGAAGTCAATAGGTAAGTCACAAAAAGTTATGGGATGCCAGGAAAACGTAGTTGGTGGTTTCTAAAGGTGTCATCAGGTGACAGCAACTTTGAACTTTACGTCTCCGTTTGTTAGGTGGTGCAAGGTGTTGCATGCACATTCGCAGCACAGAAACAAAATGGCAACAGTACTTACGGAGTGTACCCTCAAAGAACAACGAGCTCTTGTGCATTTTAAGAGGGGGGTGGGGGGGGGGGGGCGCGCTGCCTGCATAGGACATTCATAAGGGAATGCTTCCTGTTTATGTTGACAATTTACATACACACATAAAAAGGTGACAATGTGAATGCTGATATTGATGCTTTATGATGCAATTATACAACATATCCAGGTCTGCTGAATAGAGGAGTACTGCTCCTTCATGACAATGCCACATCACATATGGTTCTGTTAACTCAGCAGAAAATCAACTATCTAGGGTGGGAACTTCTGAGACTTCCACCTTACAACCCCCGACTTTTTGGTCCACTGAAAATCCACCGTGGCATGAGACATTTCACGAATGACGCAGAAGTTGAATGTGAAGTGAAAATGTGGTTTAGAAAACAGAGCAGGCAGTTCTATGCAGCAGGTTTGGGAGGACTGATACAACGATGGGATAAGTGCATCTATGTTGGTAGAAATTATGTTGAAAAATAAAGGAACAGTATATAAAATAAACAGTTTTCAAGTTGTTGTCGTCTTTAGTCTTTCTAAACAACCATTTGTGACTTATTTATTGACTTCCCTTAGTAATTAGAATGCAGCCACAACAACTACCAAGACAGGCACTAAACCTAAGAAGATCTGAATTGAAAGTAAGATGGTACCCTAAAAGATGGATATCCTACATCCACACCATACATTGACAGTGCTTCCCATCAAGGACAAAATCACAGACTACTCCATGACACTTAACGACAAAAGTGATGATGATGGGATACAGAGGTGCTGAACCACACCTGTTGGTGCATCAGGTCCAGGGCTCTCACTGGTCAAGACCTGCCTACACTTCTTTGCTGTCATCCTAGAAACAGGTTCTCAGTCGCGAGCCTAGCCAAGTTAGATGTTTCCTTTGAAGTTTTAGTGCATCTGTCTGATAGGCTAAGAACCAACAGTTTGCACACACAAAATAAGTGAGATATGTAAAATGGATGTTCATGCAATATTCAAATTCTGGAACAAGACCAACGTCCATAAGTAGACAAACAACCAGGACTTCCACCCAAGTAAACAGCAAGTGAACATGAAGAAGAAGAGGAAGATGATGAATCTGTTTGTATTATCTTTTTTTTATACCTGTTATACAGAACAGGCAAATGAAAAATAACTACCAGTATTAACCCCAGATTGGATGCTTTTTAATTACATTATTTCCTAAGAATTTATAACTCTTACTAATAAACAAATGAGCTTGAAGCAGATAAAATAATAACACCACAAGAAAAAGGATATAAAGCAACAATTGAGGAACATCAAGTTAAAGTAATTACTAAAGGAGGAGAGACACCAGGTTAAGAATAGTACATAATGTATGATAGCTCAACAAACATACTGTGGGTTGCTTCGGACTTAGTGAATCAAAGGATTAGGTGGGGGAGGGCGGAGGGTTGGGGAAAGGCTTGCTCTCTTCGGTCTACAATAACTGTTAACAAAATGACAACAACTTACTGGTTCTCTCAAGGTTGTTAAAGAACAGTAAACATCTTTATTTGCTTGAACCACAAGCTCAAATTTTGAATGTGTCTTCTATTGACATTGTAAAAAGAAAGACAAAAACATCAGTTACTGGTTGTGTCAAAAGCTAATATCAAAGTAAGCTGTGTGGCAAATATATCATCGTCAACCACACAAACTCACAACTACAAGAGCTAAAACTGGTGAAGAAACTAGAAATGTCAGAGTTAAAAGTGCAGTTCCCAGTTAACAGCTCCAGGGATATCATATCCCACAACGCTGCGCTTGCCAATGCATTCACCAGCATAAAACCAGAAGAGAATCTCGGCACCAACTAATGTATTCAGCCATGCCTCCTGTGAGAGAAACAAACATCTGATTGAGTTCCTTACCAATACATGTTTACAGGAATTAACACTTATGACAGTTTTTTAAAGAACTAATAGACATAATGCAGACAAATACATACTTACTTCGATAGTAAAAAAGTAGAGCAACAGACTCAGTTTCATACCAGAAAGTATGGGGGGCTTCACATGAAAACTTTAAAAGTATGACACAAATTACAGTACCCACGCCACTGTCTTGTAACCTCATTGTGTGGGTTCTGGGGTCCCACTGTGAGTAAAACAACAACAGACCCAGTGCCACCCTAACAAGCATGTTGTAGGAGTTGACTAACTGGGGGCATCCTTTGAAGTCGTACTTCTGCCTGAGAGGCAAGGAACCAACACTCTGCTTACAAATAAGCCAGATCCATGAAACAGATGTACATGCAACACTCAGGTTCTGGAACAATATCTAAAGTCTAGAGGTGGACAAACAATCAGAACTTTCTGCCAGAGTTTACAGCTGGTAAATGTGAAAAAGAAGAGGAAGTTGTGTAACCTGTCAATACTGTTGTTTAAGATGTCATGTTAAGTATGTGACGTCATAATGACAATTTAAGAACAGGTTAAACCATCCAAACTAACTTTTTTTTTTTTCAAAAATCTTGAATTTTACTTTTTTATACTACATGAAAGTGTATTCATTTCTGCACATAAAAATGCATGTCTTGTTGCACAATTCAGCCTGAAAGTAATTTTAATTAATTGTTTTACACTGGCATGGTAACTGTTTACTCAATTATACAGGCAAAATATTTAAACTGTCATAACTCAGTTATTTATCAACCCTTTTTAATAATTATTTCGCCTATTGGTTAGAAATTGTATAATAAATGGGATAGCATAATCTATGTTGGAATACATAAGCAAGAAACAGCTGTGAATTATGCTGTTATTACATATAATGAAAGAGAACTAGTCAGGGCTAAGCTGTGGCACAGTGTTTCCACATTTTGTAGATTTTATCAGGCATGTGAAAGAGCAAGGTAAAGTATTGAGACAGGATGGCTTCACACCACTTTTGATCTGCACCAAAGAGGAGCAGTATTCCATTTTCTGTCCGTTGCATGGGGTGGAATCTATAAATTTAGCGGCGACTGAAGGTCTTGCCCGATGATGACAGCCTGACGGTACACCAAGTGTCTGAGTGAAGTAGGAAGTTAAAACAGCATGACTTCTGTGATAAACTGTTCATCAACTAGTAAACCATCTTTGGGAATTTCTTGTCAGGTACTTAACACACCCGACATCCTAACAACACTGACATGTTACATGATATCTGCATGGTTACGGTGATTTTTAATGAAACTATTACAGTTTTCATTTGAACCCCCTTGAACAGTGTCAAAACTGAAAGGGCAGCATTTTACTTATCAGCCCTCATAGGTAAGTATTTTATTTTACATGAGTTCAGTATGAGTATATTCTTTAATGTACGTGTTTCAGGTGTGTTTTGTTTAGATGTGTCGGCTGGTGCACAGTGTATACATTACGGCCCTGTCTGTGGCTTGGACGTTAGTGAAAATCATTTCACAATGCAATTCTCGACATGTCTCGGGATTAGATTCTGTAATAAGCAGTCTGGGAAAAGATTGTTCTTGTGGTTTTCTGACAATTAGGCAAAGCTCTCACCCAGGATTATTTCAGGGGAAAAAATCAGCAACACCTTGTGCACCCACATAAAGGGTAGGGTCCTTGGAGTGACTGACAGAAAGACATGTTCCGACCCCATTTCCACAAACAGCTTCAAGCTCTAAACTCAGAAGAAAGTGCACAGGGTGTGCAGAGAGAAAGAAAGATAAATGTACAAACCCAGAAAATAAAAAAGGCCACAAAGGGAACATGACAAGTAAGTTACTGGTGTAGAAATGTTAGGTGCCACTTTGTACAGAATGATACTATAAACTATGCTATACCAGTGTCAAATTTTGGCTAGAAGAATTTTTGGTTCTGCTTAAAACTACGGCCACTTATTATGGAGTACGCCGGAGTTCAGTCCCCTGGCCGCATTGCAATTACGGAGTGGAAAAGAGGGAACGAAACAAATGACGTAATTACTGTGTGTTTTAAGGAGAACCAAATTTTTTGATTAGTAAAAAAGAAAAAAAAAAAAGCTTACTTTAACAGTGAGTTTTGTCAAACGTGCTGGCGAAGTTATCAACCTTCCAATCCCACGACCAACTTCTGGAAATTCACTGAAAGTGGGTGGACGTAGTTCAACTTTTGAGTATCTCCAGGCGGTTTCCAGCTTTGGCCGTGCAAGAACAGCCAGCTCTATAATTATAATGACAGCAAAATAAATGTTATTCATGTCTACTTTACAAATGATTTTATTTGTTTCAAAAACTGACATTACAGCACTCTGGGCATTCCCATAGGCGCTCCGTCCCCATCTTCAGCAGCCAGCGAAGAGTTCCGATACTAATGGTGCCAGTAGCATTCTGATTAAAGGTCCGTCTTGCCTTTCCTCTGAGCCTTGAGCATCTGCCAGAACCTCTCGTCACCCACAACTGCATCAATCTCACCAGACTATGGTGATTACTCTACTCTACAAATAATATTATCAACATAACATTTGATTGTTGGCTCTGCCTGCCTACATCCTGTGATAATGGTCACTGTGAAGTGTAATATTTGGCTAAACTGTCTAGTTTGCTCTGTATGAGTGACAATGAATATACGTCTCTTTATACTTTATATACTGTTCAAGTGTTTCTGCAGTCTTATAAGTCGCCCCCCTCCCCTTTTCACAACCCACTTTTCCTGTTTATTGTTTGTGCATAAGTTTAATTATTAAATTTATAAACTGTTTATAAATAAGGCAATGACCAATGTGAAGTGAATGAATAAATTGAATTTGTTTGAACTAACCACTAACTAAACTTTCAATTTCCGTTAATTAATAATTTAATTATTTGTATGATTAACATTTTGGTAACTAACTGTGTGTTCTTTTGCGAGTAGATTATCAAGAATACTTTCTGTATAAACTACCAATTGAATGGAAAACTTACGGTTTGCTTTAGCAGTAGCGTAAGATACGACCTTCGCCATGTCTTTCTGGGGCTGGCAACGGTGAATACAATAATAACCGTTACAGGCAGGGTTGCCAGATAAAAAACTTCATTTTATGCCAAACCATCACCCAAAATATGCCAAAAAATTGCCAAATAAAATGTAACAATGTACTCACTTCACATCAAAATCTCTAGATTAAATTCTTCTTTGTCATCCTCACTGGAACAAGTTGAAGATGCAGCATAAACCTTTTCGGATGTAAAATCTGTAAGCATTTACTCAGACGGAATGAAGTCTTTGCAACATTTCTTTGATATCAATAGTTCTGCTCTAATTCTGACAACTGCATCAAGAAAATCCAGTTGTATTTTGTTTCTTGCTTTTGATTTAGCTGAAGTAACAAGAGAGAATATTCTCTCAACTGCAGCATTGCTAACTGGCATTATTAGGCAAGTAAGGGCGAAAGTGGCCAACTCTTTAAATGCCTGGTGTCGAAGCACGCCTATACAAAACTCTTCACTGTTTGTAGGTAGTCCATCCTTCTTAAATGTAACTTCTTCTTTCCAGTTGACAACAATCAGTTTTATGTACTGATCTTCTAAAATACTGATGTTGTTTTCTGCCAGGTGTAAAAATTGTAGCTTTGAAAACTGTGTCCGTGATAATTGATTTAAAACTGCCAAAGGGCTAAATTTTGACAGATTTTGAAATATATTCTCGGTGGGAAGTCTACACGTAATTTGATTGAGAGCTTCCTCTAGCACAGACATGCATCTTTCATCAACATTGTTTATTTCTATCTGAACTTCAGTCCTGTTATTCTTCTGTAGGAACGCATTACATTCCGTTAGGAATTTAATACCAAAGTCAACCTGATAATTATTTTTTTTCTGCTCATTGACGTCATACAGTCTGTTCTTAAGATTTTTCTGGTGCATGGACAATTCTTGGTGTAGTTCATGAGGATCAGCTTTTGTTTGTTGAAAAAGACTGTTCAGTCTTTCAAATTCTTGTACAATTGGTGTCGCAAACACAAAATACAAATAATTATTGTGGTCTAACATCATTTCCTTTAACAATCTTACTTTATATTTTGTGTCAAACGTTGTCTGTGCTAATTCAGCACACGTGAAATAAGCTTTCAATTCTTTCCAGTTCATCTACATATTGAACATAATCTTTCCACGCACAAGCCACTTAGTAGATAACAGTTTCTCAAATGGAAGAGGAGCAGTTCGTTCTGATTCAAACTCCGTAGATGTGTTCATTACTCTAAACAGTTCTTTATAGGCTTCTCGTCTTAAATCACTATGACGAAACCACTGAGGTATTTCTGACAGTAAGAAACCAATATTTGATAGCATCTTGGCAATTGCACTACAAATGCAGAGTGATAATGAATGGCAGATACATCTGAGCTGTACACAAAAAGGAGACACATCTTTAATTCTGGACCATTCCGAATTCTTGCACCCGACCATGTTTGAAGCGCCATCTGACGCAAACACAATGCAATTTGTAAGAGTCTGACCACACCTTTTGATTTCCTTATCAATCAAATTAAATAAATTTTCTCCTGTAGCCACTTGCAAGGAAATTAAAGCAAGAAATCCAGTAAATATTTCAATTTTTCCTGTCACTGAAAAAACTATAATGCACAATAATGCACGAGTACTTTCTATAATGATGGCATAGTTCTTGTTCCGAAAATCATCAATAATGTCATCCTTAAGTGCAGGCGATATAATATTTCTTATTAAGCATAAACATTTAGTTCTATGCAACTGTATGTGCTCCAATGTACTCCCCTGACCATGCGCTCTCATTATTTTACTTAAATGATCAATTGTGCATATTGCACAATGGCAGGTCATGCTTACAGAAAGTTGCAACTCTGCTGCTTTAACTTTATCATCACTTTGCCTAGGAGTTATTGTTGTAATAAGCTGTGACTGGCTTTTTGACTGAGTTTTCATCCTGTGTTTTTCGGTTTTTTCGTGATTTGAAATGCTACTAATTCTTGGTGCAACAGTGCACTGACACAGCTTACAATATGCTGCCTCTGATCCGTCTGAAGATCTTTTGAGCCATGAGTATGTTTTCTCCCAATTACTATTATACTTGCGATTGCTTTCATAAGATACTTCCCATTTTTTTGGATGACGTAGCCATTAGTAACAATAATAAAATCTATCACAGACAGAACTAGGTCTATATCCTATCTATTTTCTGTCCTCAAGTAGTTTCTGAACAGTCTGAAACACTTGGTATCAGTGGTGGGTTTTCGTTTTATATCTCGCATTTATTCTAGTAAATTAACATAAATTACAGAGGTTTATAACATTCACGATCCGTTTAGGAAGGCAACAAAACAATAAGAAATGGCGCGAATCTCCGTTAGTCCGTACCAGGACATCACAACAAAGTCAAACTGAAATAAAGATTTTAACTGTAGGTCTACATTGCTTTTAGTAAATTTGCGTGTTTCTAATAGAGAAACATGAAGAAAATGTGATCACTTCTTTATAAGAAATGCCAGAAAAAACCCAAATATGCCAGAATATGCCAGTTCATTATCTTATGCCAGTTCAATTTCAAATATGCCAGATTTGTGGAATCTGGCATAAAAAATGCCAATATGGCAACCCTGGTTAGAGGTAAAGCCTCTACGTGACCCGGACGTAATTCTTCATTCTTGGAGTTCTATTAGAAACGGTTCCGGTGTGAAGATGTCAGACGACTAGTTGCCACCAATAAGAGAAAGAGGTATCGTGTTGCTAAGAACAGATGTGACTTGACGGGTGTTTTTGGGATTAGTCTGTTTGTGTAAATATCGTTTGAAGCAGATAATGTTGTGCGGTGCCTTTGCTTCGTTTTATTAGTCCCAGTTTCGGCAACTTTTGGGGATTTTTCTCTTAAAATTAATGATAAAGATATAAGATAAGTTATAATTTATAAAAAGATTAAACTGATTGATTAACGTCTAATAAAAATAATATTTAATATAGTTAAAAAAATATATCAGTCATATCGGCAAACCGGGTTTGTACTGCTGTCAGTATTTACTACTTTAATGATTAATTGACTTTGTAGGGCTGTGGTAGGATTAGTTGAACCTTGAGTCTTAATAAAAGTTATAGTGAAGGACTCTACAAGAACTTCAGGTCAGAAGAGGTGTTGCCAAACATTGACACTAATACTAATACTAGGCCTACTAATAATACTAATACAGGTAGCCAAATAAGAATAGTAAATCAAACCAGAACTGGTGTTCTGTTATCAGTCGCCACATGCAGGGGTATATACTGAAGATGGGATCTGAGTGCTTATGGACTTGTCTGATGTGCAAAAAAGGATACTCTAACTATTAATTCTACAGCCTTCTGCAAATCCTCAAAGTCTTCAATCAGCTGGTGCAGGTGTTACAGCATGAGAACTGTTTTACTTTTCTCAAAATTGTTATAATTTCAAAAACGGATAAATAAAATGGAATTTTCAATTTATCATAGGGAGCTGTAGGCTGTAATCCCTCAGTTCAGTGGCTGTAGTGTGGAAGATGCTTGCCTGCTCATGCCCACTGGCCTTAAAGTCTTGGAGTTAAATCTGCATCTAAGTGTATAGTTTATTTTTATAAATTACCTGAGAGCCCAGGCTGACCAGGTCTTAAATTAGCAACAAGAAATATTATATCTCAAGAAGTAAAGGTAGCCCACATCATTTTGACGATACACCTGATGGAGCAATAGTGTCACATTTTATATCAGAGGAATTCTTCTTCTTTTCATTCTACTCCTATTGGCTCTCTATGAGAAGGCCACAGGTCTCTTTAACTCTTTGTATCCCAAAGAACGCATTATAGTTCATAGGCTCCTACCTAGAAGCCCAATGAACGCAAAGTGCGCCGATTTTACATCTGTCTTGACTACCCCTGGGGCATCTGATGGTAAACCCCATGGGACTCAATGAGTTGAAAGTCTGTGGTGCATGATTCCATTGATTCCATACAGATTGGCATCCATTGATTTTCACCTGTATTTAGCTTTTTACTTTGGGCTCCTTCGAAGATGAGCACCTGGTGCTGCACCTGCCTGGCAGAGTTCAATATTAGATCCATAATCCTTATTTTCAGTCACTGGCATTACGTCAGTAAGTTGCATTGTACCATAGTTTTCAAATTTGGCTGTGACCCTTTCTAGTCTGTCTGCGCCTTTCTGCCTGGCAGCTCCGACTTTTGCGTTATTTTTTCTTAGGATAAGCTTCCTTAAATGGATTGCTGTCCTTCCCTGACAAGCTCCATCTGCCCACCGTTAGTATTATTACAAAGATCAGGCTGGCCACCCTACGCTTTAACCCCCAACTGTTCTGTTGTAACTGCTTCTATTGGACTGTTTGTGATGGCACTTCTGACTGCTATCTTATACATTTAGTGCATGGCTATGCTGTTGGATTTGATTTGCCAAGACTGCCATTTGCATCAATTTTTTTTTTCACAAAGGACAGTGGCGGACATTCTGTTTGGTCTTCCTTGATACAAGAACAAAGCAACTATAGGGGGATCCATCTGCTATGAAGACAGCGTTAGAAGTACAACAAATACATAAAAGCACTACGCTATACAGTGAGGACTGCTTGAATAGATGACGGTCAAGTGTTGTTGCAGGAGTAAGGTACCGGACAAGAAGGGACCCAGGAAAGAGGGATAAATGGGTGGGGTGGGAGATTATTTCAAGAGACATAACTAAAAATACACACACACACACACAAACAGCCTATGCTTTATAATATAGTTAACTTCTTCTTTCTTCTTTGTGTTCACCAGCTGTACACTCTGGCGTAAAGTTCTGGTTGTTCGTCCACTACTGAACTGCAGTCCTGCTCCAGAACCTGAGTGTTGCATGTGCATCAGTTTTACAGATCTGATTCAATTGAATGCAGACTGCTGGTTCCTTGCCTCTCAGGCAGATGCACTCCGACTTCAAAGGAAGCTCCCCAGTTAGTCGACTCTTACGACATGCTTTTGGGGAGGCAGTGGGTCTATTCTTGTTTTCCCCACAATAGGGCCCCGGAACCCACACGGGGGTATAGTTAACTGAATATCATGCTCTCACTATAAGTATGGCAAGGAAGAAAAAAAGACATGTTCAACAATTTTGTTAGTTTTATTTTAAGATTATCTATTTATTTTTTCTGTTTAATTTTAAATTATCCAGAATGCATTATGGTTTTGCAGCACACTGTAATATATTTTTCTTCATCGTTAGCAGGGGATGCTTTTCCAAGAAGTTCAAGAATTCAGGAGAATTTTCCACCAGTAACACGTTTTTTTGTAAGAGATCTACTTTGATCACAGACACGTCCATATTCAGAAATAAATTTTGGCATTGAGCGATTGAATTTGATGAAAAATGGATGTCGTTTTGGACTATGCTGATTACTACATCCTGACCCCATATGTCTATCCAAAAACATGGAGGGAAAACGACCCCTGGCGCCAGATTGTGTCCCTATTGTTGGTTGCAAACATTGGAGGATACCTCTTGTACTTCATTGTGGCATCGTTGAATTACTTTTTAATATTTGACAGACGGCTTTTAAAGCATTCTCAAGTTCTGGAGGTATGTGTATAATGTAAATATTTATTAACAAACATTTGTCTCTGTCAGATGTTAGTTAGCTAATTAATCGACCGATTATGCACATCTGACAAGTCATTAAGTGTTCTGATCTCATCTTCACTATATCCTTCAGCACATGGTATCTGATAACACCAGTTCTCTATTGATTTGCTAATTTTGTGTGTGTGTGTGTGTGGCTTCTTGTATAGTGTTCATGTCTTGCAATACCTCTTTTGACGTGAAGTTTTTTTTTTTTTTTTTTAAATGTTACTGACTCACCATTGTCTTATGAAAGGCGTGAAAAGGGTCCTTTACTTACTTTAATATTATATGTATATTCACGAACACCCATATCTGTACATAAACACATGTGTGTATGCATATACCTATAGGTATGAAGTTGGAGGAAACAGTCCAAAACCTGTAGACCTCAGTAGCACCGTGTGAACTTTGTCATAAGTCCAAAAGGTGAAGAGGCCCTAGCATATTGGCAGTAGTGTCATATATCCAAAAGGTGAAGAGGCCCTAGCATATTGGCAGTAGTGTCATGTATCCAAAAGGGTAACAGGTTCTAACATATGGGCAGTGGTGTCATATATCCAAAAGGGGAACAGGCTGTAGCATATGGGCAGTCGGAGGGGAAAGGCCAAGTCAGTCTGATTAAAAATAACCTATGTTGAAGCCAGGGGGTTTTTAAGAAGTGTTTTGCAGGAAGGATTCACACTCAGAAAAAATGGCCTGAAATGCTCGCCAGTGGTTTTGGTTTATTGTTCCTAACTGTATGTGATATTGTTCTATTTGAACATGTTTGAGGCCTCTCATTTGGTCCTGAGGTCCTGGTGGGAGTTCTTTTGTGTGTGTCCATCTGTCTAACTGTGCGTCTTGAGTATGGCTGTTAGTTATGATTAGGTTGTTCATCTGTCCTATATGGTTATATTCTTCCTATTTGGTTATATTCTTCCTATTTGGTTATATTCTTCCTATGTGGTTATATTCTTCCTATGTGGTTAAATTCTTCCTATGTGTATTCTTCCTATATGGTTATATTCTTCCTATGAAGACAATACTTCTTTCTTCTTCTTCTTGTTCACCGGCTGTGAATTCCGGCGGTAAGTCACGGTTGTTCGTCCAAAATGGACTTTTGGCTTTTACCTTGACCTGAGTTTTGCGTGTACATCCGTTTTACTGGCTTATTTGTTTGCAGTACTCGTTCCCCGCCTTTCCGGCAGATGTACTCCGACTTCGGAGGAAGACGTCAAGCCTATTTCTAGGTTGACTGTGGCCATTGTTTTGTGTGGGTCGAGATGTTGCCTTATTTGTGTGGTGTCCTCTTTGACTTTTAACAAGTGTGGCCCCCGGCATGTCGTCCTTAAGGCAGCTCTATGTAGAGTTTTCAGCCCTCAAGGGAAGGCAGGGGCAGATCATGGGCATTCCCCGCCATCCAAGGAGGCTTCCATAAATGCAGAGCCGACACATGATGCTCTGGTTCTGGGCTCACCCAAGGAATCGTCACGTCCTGCCCATGACTGCTTAACCTCACAACCGTGTATTGAGCTTCCCACGCTACAAGGCTGCGCTCTCCGGAGATCAGCGGGGAGCAGCCCGCAGGTCTAGGACGTTTGTGGCCACACAAATAGGTACATTCTTTTTCATCTTATGTTAGACACCTTTAACGTTGTTTTAGCTGTGCCCTTAGGACGACAGAATGGGGAAGCAAAATGCGTCAGGCGTGGCTTCACCTGTTTGGTCCCAACACTCGGGCGAGTTGGACCAGTGGATACGGACATTCAGACTTTTCCTAATCGGTACGAGTTATAATCGTCGGACTTTGAGCTTGCATGTGTGCCGTGGGGCGGAACTTTGTCGGACATTGTTTTCAAGCCAGCATGAATAGTTGCTGCCATGGTGTACCTCAGCGCGGTGACGACGACACTGAGGATTGACAGAGGATGTACGTAGGTGGGATCTTGCTGCGAGAAGTCGCCCACAAGAGATGTTACTCGTCTTAGCTGCGGGTAAATCTCTCGGTCAGGGTTGAGTCTCAGCAGCACAGTTTTCCATTCGCTCCCGAATTTTAACCAAGAGTTGTCATTTGATGGTACATTTAGCAAGCAGTCCTTGAGTTTTGTTACTTTTCACCCATGCGTTTGGGGGCGGGCTGGTGAGAGCCAGAAAGGACTCTACACCTCTGCCAGCTCCGAGATCCCCTGCCAACTCTGTTAATGCTCATTTGAGACATTATCCGTGGCGCACGACGGGGACGTGCAACAGGAGTCTTGCATGAGGTTCCGTAAAACCAGAACAGTGAAGGACTGGCGCCCGAGTGGGGTACGGAATATCTCCTTATACACATCACATCAGACTTAACTTCCCCTCATGTCTGTGACCGAAATCACCGCGCCACGAAGACAACACTATTACTGTATGTCTTAGAGACAATACTATTACTGTATGTGTTAGAGACAATACTATTACTGTATGTCTTAGAGACAATACTGTTACTGTATGTCTTAGAGACAATACTGTTACTGTATGCCTTAGAGACAATACTATTACTGTATATCTTAGAGACAATACTATTACTGTATGTCTTAGAGACAATACTGTTAGAGACAATACTGTTACTGTATGCCTTAGAGACAATACTGTTACTGTATGTCTTAGAGACAATACTATTACTGTATGCCTTAGAGACAATACTGTTACTGTATGTCTTGGAGACAGTACTGTTACTGTATATCTTAGAGACAATACTGTTACTGTATGCCTTAGAGACAATACTATTACTGTATGCCTTAGAGACAAACTGTTACTGTATGCCTTAGAGACAATACTGTTACTGTATGTCTTAGAGACAATACTATTTAACTCTGGCATGTTTCATTGGCTAACTTTCAGAATCAAGTGCAACAAGAAATAATGTGTACGGTGAAATCAATTCCTTTTATGAGCATCCCAACGGTTGCTATGTTCTTTCTGGAGGTCAGAGGTTACAGCAAACTTTATGATAATGTTGGAGACACAAAACTTGGTAAGTACACTTTCTCATAAACCACGACCTTTATGACTTCAATCATCGTCAATATGACCAAACACACACACACACACACACAAAATAAGTAAATAAAAATAGCAAATAAATATAGTTTTCCGCATTAGTAGAGTAAAGAAACATCTCCAGAACTGATGCCTAGACCGCACAGTGATTATTTGTAACTAAACTGAATTTTTTTTTTTAATTTGCAAAATTTATAATTCGATTGAATGAAAATGGTGTTGATAAATAAAAATTTAACTTATGAATTGTTAGAAAAGAACTTGATCGTATGTTGAGGAGACCCTGTACATGAAAGTTTCAGGAAAGAAGTTGGGACGGTACCATTGTTAAAATGCATCAAGAGACAACAGATCAAATGGTTTGGACCAGATAGTGCACCACAGAGAGCCCTGTCACTTGGACATAATGGAAGCAGAGCTAGAGTTAGTTAGTTAGTTAGTTGGGTTATCCTCATTGCACTCCGGACATGTCCATAGGTGCTCAGATCCTTCCCTCAGTATGAACCCCAACGTCCGATGGCTAATAGTACCAGTTCTATGTTGATTAACAAGTCTTCTGGCGTAGCTGGTGTGCGTCTCGTTTTTTGCTGTGCCGATCTTAATTCCCAAGTCTGCCATTCTGGCGAGTGATGTGGATTCACTGCCACCAAAGTCCTCTATTCTTCCCATTTCTCTGAGGGCATTGATAATATCAGCATGATCCATAGGCTGACCGTCGGTAGTGATAGCGGATCCAGCCAACCTGTCAGCTCTTTCATTTCCATTGACGCCTGCGTGTCCCGGAACAAAAATAAAGGTGACTCCACGAACAGTGGACTTCTGTAATGATTCAAGCCATTGTCTTCGCACTGAACCTGCCTGAACCCTCCGGATCATACTCATTGAATCACTGAGTATACACACGCGGGTGTATTTTTGTGTTTTTGGAATATCCTAGCTTAGGGCTATTGAGCTAAGTTTACTCAGGGGGGACTAACGTTTTGAAAACTGGGTTCGTCATGGGGCAGAGGTCCGGACCCCAGTATAGAAAAATCATTCATACAATACAGCTGGCAGTGATCTCTAGGCCCCACTGGGCAAGATTTGACCAACATGTCACCAGTTGAATAGGCCTGTCCTAGTCCATACATACCAGCATCTAGGCAGCACATACCTAGCTCGCACGTGATGCCTCTTCAGAACTGGATGCTGAGAAGCAGAACAGGACAATAAATGAAGAAGAAGAGGAAGATTTTGGGGCAGATGTTAGTCATATAAAATACAATTGCACTACCTGTTTTCAGGTTATATTAGTCTCAGTGCCTCATCAGTTTTAACCCTATTGTTCAAAAGCTGCAAAACCCATGTCCTTCTGTGACTGAATCCATAACTGCGGCTTAACCAGTAAGGCTGCAGTGGCTTGTCCTTGAGAGGCTTTGTTAATGGCGTTAGTTTTTAAGCACAATCTTTGTGTCTTTGCAATGTTTAGAAGGCCTCAATATGAATATAGTTACTCAAGGTAGCATTTGGCATGGTTTTCTCGCGAAAAAAATTATGGTGTTTGAACATGATTATGACATCATATTTTGTCCACATCCTTAGTTTTAGAATTTCAACATGTTTACACCAAGGCCAGCTCTAGACATAAGGCCCTACAGCTCAAACGGGAATTCCTGTTTTTGTGAGGCTGGCATGGCCGGGTGGTGGTAACAATTGTTATCGAGTAGATTTATATACAAATTGAACTACAGTTTAATTAATTTGCAACATGTGTTGTTGAATAAATTATTATTTTGAAGACAAATAACTGGGCTTATAGAAAATAAATATCTTCAAAATGACAATTAATTCATTATTACATCTTGCAAATTAATTGAACTAGTTCAGTTTGTTTATAAATCTACTTGATAAACACTGACCCCCCCCCCCCCCCCCCCCCCCCCCCCCATTTTTTAAGACCAGCAGACTTGATGTCATTTAATGCTTCACCCTGTTCTTGTTGATTGATTGCTCCTTCAAAATATTTATGGGGAAGAAAATGAAAATTTAGACAACACATTTAAAAAAAGCGTTTTTATGACCTGTGTCAAATGATTTTTTAAATTTTATTATTCTATTTTACTATTTTTGTTAATGCTTCACGTTCCTGCTTTAAAAAATTAAATAGCTTTACTGGGGTAAAATGATTGAAAATAGCTTTGATGGAGATTATAAACTATGACAACCAAGTTGGCAGACAGGGTGCTTACCACTGATACTGCTACAGCTCAATCTTTTGTCATACTTCAACATAAAATGAGCTGCTTTATTGCTTTGCTGAGTCTGTGGCTCAGTTTGTTCAGATTCAGCAGGCATATTCTTGCAAAAAAGTAGTAAAAAACAAAGTAAAGGACCCTTTTCATTGCCTTTAGGCATAAAGGGCATATATATATATATATATATATATATATATATATATATATATATATATATATATATATATATATATATAATATATATATATATATATATATATATACCTATATTTTATAGACAGATCGGCACAAGATAGGTGATGTGGTCAGCATCACGCCGGCCACCTTTACTTTCTGGGACTGCACCCGGTACCCATTCAAGGCTGGGTCTACCTGGGAGTTTACTGTTAACCTGTAATGATCCACAGTAAATCTCTAATACAGCTTGATTGATTTTGTACCTCTGTTTCCCTGGTTCTGATCCTAGAGCTGTCTGATTTGAGAGGCTCTGCAGGTAACCTTGCTAATCTTGACTTAGATCTTTGGGTTTGCATATAGATAAGCTTGTCTACAAATACAAATGGGAGACGTGGAAGAGAGAGTAGCGTGATTTCTTATATGATTCATTGAGCATTTTTTGTGTGAAAAGTTAATCAGTTTCATCAGTCATGTGCTATTTCCAGTTTGAAGGTTGGCAGCATTGAATCTTCAGCATGTTCTATCTTTTGTCATGGTTGTACACTGTGGGACTGCTGTTTGTCCATCTCTTAAATTTATCTTCACCTGTATCACTGTGTACCACTTGGTTGTCTTCAACCTTCTCTCCTGAATTGTTTTTTTTATAAGAGTCCTGTGCATCACCATACTAGACCATCATTTCTGTAGGTTTCACTCCTTTACTGATTTAAAAAAAAATTGGATAATAGAATGCTGCTCCTCTTTGATACATATTGAAAGTGGGGCAGCCATTTTTAAACTGCACCATGATTTCACATGCTTAACACTCTTGACATCCTTCAAAACAGTATTGACAGGTTAGAAGACAATGGCTTGATTATTATAGTTTCTATCATACTTTTGAGGTTTCAATTTGAAGCACCTTTTCATTTCACTTGTTTCTTTCCCCAGTTTGGGAATGAAAATAGAATTGCTAAATGACGTAAACGTTCATTAAGATGCTTTTATACTTGGTTTTATGTTCTCCAGGTTATGCCGGGGTCTTGATCAGCATGTTCTTATTTATTGCTTTCACGGACATGTGCATCTACTGGATTCATCGCTTCCTCCACCACAAGTTTGTCTACAAACACTTGCACAAGCTGCACCACAAATGGAAGGTAAGACAGTGTGTGAAAGAAAAATCGAAACAACAGAAATGAAATGTCTACAACGAATCCTAGAAGAGACAGGATTAGAAATGATGATATCAGGAAAGAAGTTGGGACGGAACCAGCACTAAACTACATCAAGAGACAACAGTTCAAATTGTTTGGACATGTGTCAAGACAACCACCAGGTAGTACACCACTGTGTCAGTTAGCCTTTCTTTGGAGAGTGAGCAAATCATACGACGTAAAACCCAGAGCCATGAATTTGATTCTGTCAACTCTAACTTTATATTTAGTCATTCAGTCACCTGTTTACAGATAATGGCTTATACTTGGGACAGTAGAAGTTTATGGTAAAGTTGTAGAGAATTATTTAATCTCTGGTGTATAGTAAACTATATGAGAAATGATTTGTCCTTTTGCACCATTAATTATTTTAAGTAAACGTAAGTAAAGCAAAACCTCTAGGCATATATATTTTATGGACTAGTCGGCAGTTGGTGGGTGATGTGGTCAGCGTCATGCCGCCCGCCTTTACTTCCTAGGACTGCACCTGGTACCCACTTCAGTGCTTTAAATAAAAACTTATTTTAATCTTTTTTTTTTAAGGTTAAAAAAAAAATTCCCTCGACCTTTTTTATTTTGTGTAGTTATTTGTGAATTTAAATGTCTTATTTGTTTTCTTCCTTTTTTTCCAGATCCCAACTCCTTTTGCCAGCCATGCATTTCACCCTCTGGATGGATTTCTGCAGAGCCTGCCATATCACATCTACCCATTTTTGTTTCCTCTACACAAGGTTTGCCCAGTGTCCTCTCTTATGTTTAATTGTCACACTTTGTTGCCATAAATAGGGCTTCTGTGGCTTAGATGTTGCAAACTCGCTTCATAATGCTGGGGTGCCGAGTTCGATCCCAGCTGCAGATCTGTTGGTTTCGACAGTGGTATTGGGAAGCTGACCGTCCAGAAAGCAGTGACAAACTACTAGACATAAACTTACTTAGTATGCATATTATTTTATGAACATAACATGTTTTATTGATAAAATACAACTGCTGTGCGAAAGATGAGTGCTTGGAAGGGCCAAATGTAAGTTCAGGCCTGCCTGCCCAATTTGTAACCCTTTGAAAATGAATGTTTAAATGTTGTTTGTTTTTTCGTTCATCTATATATATATATATATATATATATATATATATATATATATATATATATATATATATATATATATATATATATATATATATATATATATATATATATATATATATATATATATATATATATATATATATATATATATAGAATCTCAGAAGATCGACTAACACACCTTTATACAACATCTCCAGCTGCTCTCACCTTTTCATAACTTCTGCATAGAACTATGTTGGTTAAATACTACAGTAAAACTTTGATTAACTGTCCCCACTTGGCCCAGGGCATTTACAGCTCGCTCTTCTGGCAGAACAGTTCAAAGAAGCAAGCATTCCTTCTCCATGACTACCAGCAGCATGACAATGTAGGTGATGGCAGGGACTGAAGCTTTTTTTTTGGCTAGAATCACAGGACTCTTCCCATGTGTGTGTGTGCTAAGTGATTCTCTGAGCAAGGAAGATGTGAACCAGCGTCTTTACACACCGTTATAGACCAAAAGTGTTGTGCCACCAGCACCAACAGCTGATAAGAAACTGTCCACCTGTGTCGCCGTCCGTACGAAACTCCTTAGCTACAGCGACGTTCCTCCATTTACCCCAGAGTGTTAACTCTGGAACCCATTTCGTAGAGGCCAGGTGAACCCCGGGAACCATTCGGTTTGGAACACCAGTCGTGGGCTGCAGCGAGTGGCAGCTGGATTTGAAAGCGAGTCTCTTGTCGACTGCGCTAATGCAGCCCCCTTATTATACAGTTGGATTTAACACTAATCTGTGGACACTTTTGAAGATGTATGTTTATTTGGTAATACTCACACATTTCTTTTTAGACAATTACAGAAAACAGTAAATGACAGTTAAACGAGAGACGGTTTATCAAAATTTTACTGTATCTTATTTTTTCTGTCTTTCCACAGATCACATACCTGGGACTGTTTGTATTTGTGAACATGTGGACAGTTTCAATTCACGACGGAGACTACAGAGTCCCTGATCTGCTCAAGGATGTCGTCAACGGCAGTGCCCACCACATGGACCACCACATCTTCTACAACTACAACTACGGCCAGTTTTTCACCCTGTGGGACCGGATAGGCGGATCTTTTAGAAATCCAAGTTCTTTTGAAGGCTGCGGCCCGATGGATCAAATATTGGCTAAAGAAAAAGAATTAGCTAAAGGGGTAAATGGTTCAGCAGGGGCAACTACAAACCACAACGGCAAGAAACTAAATTAATATGTTCATGTACGTTTGTGTATAGATAAATGAATAATTATTTAAAGTTTTTAGTCCTAAACAGCGTATGATATGTTATTGGGTTCTAGTCTATGTGTGGTGTATTCTCACATATTTTACTTCTGGCTAGAGCAAACTAGAAAAGAAAAAAAAAACAGGCTTCTTTAGTGGTCACTTCCACTGTATATTTGTATTCTCCAAAACTAATGCACTCATGATTTTTAGACCTCGTACAAAATGTGCTGGGACCGAAAGAGTTAAATATTTGATCGCTACAACCTGATACAGGATCTCAACAGCTAGATCTGAACATCCATTAGGGAATGACAAAGATACTGAGAATAAATCAGGCAAATTGTAATGTGGTTTCTCTTTAAAAAAAATTCCACTTCATGTCATAGAGTCGTACACCTGTCTGGGCAGTAATGTAGATAAAGATGGGGGAACTGTTAGAGATTTTAAAATACAAATACACAAGACAAGAGGAGCTTTCAGACCACTAGAAAATTTGTGGAGGTCAAAAGGATTTAAAACTAATACTAAACTAAACATTTTTAATTCTGATGTCAAATCAGTACTCTTGAATGGAGCGGAAACATGGAGAACAACCACGGCAATTACCACTGGGGAATAGAAGGCAGCAGAAGACAACAAGTATCAGAAGTTTCAAAAAAATGCTTTGCTGAAAAAATGATGTTGCTTGTTTTACTGCATGGATGCTAATATTGGGCAATGAGCAGTGAAGTCATGATCATGTGTTGTCATTCAGAGCTGGATCGCTTCTCTTTCAAGACATTAATAAGTTTCGTAACTTTGAAAATATTTATTTTTCTATTCTGTTTAAGAACTGTCGCACTGTTTTTTTACATGGGCAACATTACACACGGGCGTCCAATCTTACTAACCAGAGACCAGGGGAAGTTAAAAAACTCCCTGTAAAACAAATCCCAGCTGGAACCCAGGACCTCCAGCACTTGAGGCGTTACGCCATGCCTTGAGATCACTCAGCCCCGCCCCTCCCCCCAACTTTTTTGTTTCTTAAGGTAGTCAACTGACAGAGACACCCTCAAAACATTATGGATGGGTTCACATTTGTTTTTCTTCATTGTGGTGCAGAATACAAAATATTATGAATTTAGTTTTAAAAAACTGGCATTTTTGTTAGTCTGTATTTCTGTCAGTTAAAAGATTTTTTTAGGTGTGGCTTTTCCCCCACCAATCTACAGCCATATGTTAATAATGTCAAGCAAAGTTACAGTTTTTTATTTTAGAACTTTGTTCTGCATTTAGTTTTGTGCAGAAATGCAAAATATTGTGAGTTTATGTAAAACATTTGTAAAGCTATGGTGTTTTTTTTAGGACACACTAGAAATATGTGGTATCTAGGAAAGTTCAATGGTTATTGGGTATGTTAGTCAAGTGGGTGGGCGATGTAGTCAAGTGGGTGGGCGATGTTGTCAAGTGGGTGAGCATGTTAGTCACGTGGGTGAGCGATGTAGTCAAGTGGGTGGGCGATGTTGTCAAGTGGGTGAGCATGTTAGTCACATGGGTGGGCGATGTAGTCAAGTGGGTGGGCATGTTAGTCACGTGGGTGGGCGATGTAGTCAAGTGGGTGGGGGTGCTAGTCAAGTTGGTGGGCATGTTAGTCAAGTCCCAGCTGTTACCGAGGATTGAACCTGTCACCTCTAGCACTCAAGGTGGACACACCATGCTTCGAGACGACGCAGCCCCCTCATTTACTTGGAGTGAACATCTTAAATTTGCTCATCTGTCTATTGTAGGCAGTATCTTGCTCTAACATCAAATCTTCTGGTTTGTCTGATGTAGATGTATATAACAAAGGACCCTTTTCCACACCTTTGGGCCTTTTGGGAATATAGGGCTGGACCTATATTTTTATTGACCAATCAGCACTTGGTGGGTGTTGTGGTCAGCATCACACCGGCCGCCTTTACTTCCCAGGACTGCGCCTGGTGATTTAGATGTATACCCAGTTATAAGTCAGCCATCACTATTTTAAAATGCTTTTATAAAAGTACTAGGAGCGGCTGGCTAAACAGTTAAGAATGCTGGGTTGTCGTGGGAGACCCAAGTTTGAATTCTCAGTAAGGTTGTGGATTTTTTTCTGTTGCGGGCTCAGATAAAATCCTAACCAGCGCAGTCTGTGGCGACAGCACTAGCCGTGCAGCCCTAAATCCTCATGCCAGCACTACGGAAGTGCTTTATGTGGTGGCATTTGTTGTTTTTATTTTATTTTTTATATATGTCTTATATTTAATTATATATATATTTTTTTTCACTGATGAAGGCATTTGATCAAAATCCATTCTTGTTTCTTTGTGTGTGAGATACCTCTTATGCATCTTACCAGTTATGCTTCATTTGTTTGGTTCTCAATATGAACTTAGCATGAGTCAACACAATCTTTGATATGAAATACCATAACTATTGAACTTTTAAAAGAACACATATGATAGTTTTTTTCTTTAAGCTTTGACTTTTTTGGGGGTATTGTAGAATTTTTTTTTAAATGTTGCTTTGTTAGTCTCATTTTTGACACTTTTGTTACTTGAAGTTGCTTTATGTTTTCTGTGCAATATTGGGACATAAGTTTTGACATATAATGTTTATCGTGTCACAGAATTGCAACATACAAATAAAACAGTCAGCTGAATTTATGACAATCATTATAAATGAAATGCTCACCTGCGGAGATTCAGGTCCTGATTGAGCTGGACAAAACTAACCTTAGCGCCCAGGTCAGCCCAACTTTATGTAGGTACGACGTGAAGCCCTGGGTAGTATAGGTGGCCGGCATAGTGTTGACCGCATCACCCACTGTGCTTGACTTAATGTGCTTTGCTTAAAAAAGAACGTCACATTTAACCAGCGTCCCTTGAAGGGAGGAGCTTTTGTGACTAGGTTTATGTGCACCATATAAAATTTGGTTTAGCACTGCTTGCCACCAAGTAGCGCTAAAAAGGACTCTTTCAACGTTTATCAGGGCTGCCAGTGGAATTTTTATCAAATCCCAATCTAAGCTGGCCAAATAAAAAAATAAAAAAACAGCAGTACAAAAGTAAAGTACAAAAACAAAAACCCAAGATTAAAGAAAAGTACAAATTTTATAGTTAAAAAACTAAACATTTACCCACTTTTATGTATGGATATTTTTTTTTTAACCCAAGATTCCAAAATCTGAACCCAAGGCGTCAAATAGAAACCCAGATGGGGAAGGGGGAGGGGGGGAGGGGGAGGGTAAAAAAGCCATCATTGCAGCCCAAATGCGATCATGAGAGACGAGACGCAAATACTGTCCCAACAGACGATAAAGCCGGCCAGCCAATGGGCGACCTGATCGCGGATGCACCAAAAGTCAATTTGCCTATAAAATATAGTTCCAGTCTGATATACCCAGTACACCTGAAAGTGTAGAAAACTGTCCTTTACCTTTATGTTACTTGTTATAAATTAACTGTTACCTCAGTGCACCACCTGTTATTTACCATCTATAATGCACAATACTTGTGCATATAACTGCATTTATGCCAATAGTTACAGAAATTTCACTGCAGAACAGCCCTTTCCCTGATGTCACGGAGTCATGGCCTATTTATCTGCCACATACAACTTAAATTTTTTCATAATATTTCAACACATCCATGGCAGAAGGATCCTGCCCCCACCACCCACTGGAAAGACACTGTCCCACCAATTCCCCTGTTTTACATGTGCATGCTCAAAGTGTGTCTAATTTTCTTTGTACACCTCTCTGCTGGTCGAACACTGCCTCTAGTAATTCTGCTTTCCGTTATTCTTCTTTCTTAATCTCTGCAGCATTTTAATATGACAGAAGTAATGACAGATTTTAAGCCAATTTTCTTGGATATTTAGATCTTCAGAAATGTGATTAGTTTTTCTGTATGCTTAAAAGCATTCATTCTTTTTTTCTATTACAGTTCATCAGCTAAATAATGGGCTCTTCTTTCAATATAGGCCGGTAGCTGGAGAGCCGCCGATCGGCTTAGTGGGAGTTCTCTCCCTTGGTTGCATTGCAAACACGGAGCGGAAAAGTCACGAATCAAATGACATACTTACCTATCATCATACGGTTGCGTGTACGGTTGCGTAGTCATCATACGGTTGCGAAGGGTGTAGGGTTTTGGTTAGGGATAGGGTTAGCGGCGTTAGGGTTAGGATTAGGCGTAGGGTTAGATGTGACAATTTTCCAAATAATGGCCTATAATCTGATCCTTGTGGGAGTGGCGCCACTGGAATTCTCCCAAATATGACGGCAGTAGCATGTAGCTGGTGCCCAATCTGTGGTGAATTGTCTGTTTGAGTAGCATCCACAGTCCTTCAATTGTTTGGGTGTGTATGTGACTGTGCGCGATTATTCGGAACTCCTGCGTCAAAATTGTCACATCTAACCCTACCCCTAACCACGCAAATTTATCGGTCAGTGAGTCATACAGATCTGCAGGAGTCACATCCGTGGCAACTAATACCACGTTTATATATATAAGGATATATTTACTTTAAAAAAAAACACAGATTTCCCCGAAGCGTCAAATAAACACCCAGATCTGGGGGAAACACCCAAGCATTGGCAGCCCTGTTGTCGACCTCACTGTCTTTTTTTATTTGTGACTTTTCCGCTTCGTGTTTGCAATGCAGCCAAGGGAGAGAACTCCCATTAAGCCGATCGGCGGCCTTCCAGCTACCGGCCTGTATTGAAAGAAGAGCCAAATAATGTTTAATAAACCCGTAGGAATTACTAATAAATGTTTTTTTAAATGTATTTACATAAAAATTGTATGTTAAAACTCCCGAAATATGTACACACATATAAAGAGATCAACTCGAGTCCCAGGGGGTTTAGCTTCACAGGCCCAAGAGGTAGTCAAGAGAGACGTAAAAATCGGCGCATCATGCATTCATTGGGTCTCTAGGTAGGAATCTATGAAGGTATGAAGCGTTCCTTGGGACTCAAAGAGTTA